CTAGTGAACGAAAGCGTATTTGTGAGGCTCGATCGGTGTGACCCATAACCCATAACTTTAATTTAAACCTTGGTTTTCTAAGGGGTGTGGCACCTGGCCGACGGAGTTTAGTGGCCCTGTGCCTGATATTATCATAAGAGGACGCTCGATTGGTCAATATGGTTAGAAATGGGGATCATATGGGTGCAAAGGAATCATTTGGGGGTGACTGCACCCCCCCTTCTTTTTTTTTGCACCACTGCTGCTTACCCAATTTTTTTACCCACGAGCCGCCACTGCATCCGACACAGGGCCACTAAACTCCGTCGGCCAGGTGCCACACCCCTTAGAAAACCAAGGTTTAAATTAAAGTTATGGGTTATGGGTCACACCGATCGAGCCTCACAAATACGCTTTCGTTCACTAGTAAAGTACATGCCTTGACTTGAACATGTCTTCAAGTCAATCGGTTTAAAAAGAAAAGAAGATATATATGATTTTTATTGAATATCCTTTTTGTAATTTTACGTTTGTATTAAGACAACTCCACCATGTCAGATACTCATGAGATATTTTCTTTTGTCTTGTTTGCTGGGATAGAATTTGGGCCAGGCGCAATTTCAGCCGCCTTCTTATCTGCCATAAATCGAGCATTTTTCTTGATCGAAATGTATTCTGGGCGATTGGCTAACCATTCAATGAACCCTGATGGAGTACACAAAAAAATCCTAACGGTAGACATAAAACACAAGAGATTATCTGCTGCAAAATAAACCATTGAATCGAGGCTGATTTAATGTTGACACTTCCACCGTGAATAGCGCAGTATTGAATCAATGTTTAGTCAATGTGGATGCATAAACGGTGACGGTCGTCGCGTTGAGTCAATGTTGATTCAACATAGAAGTATAAACCCTCAACAGTGGTACATTCAATCCACACCAAGTCAACGTTGAGTCAATGTTGGGTGCTACCTGGGATGAAGACTTGCAGGACCCAGGGGCTATGGTGCAGAAGAAAATTATGCAGTAGTCTTATAGATTTGGACTCAAGACGCACGAGCGTTCAGGTCTAGCCATGCCTCGTTCGACTCAAACCGATCGTCTCGCATTCTAGCCCTAACCACTACTTCCGCAATATTTCAGTTGTGATATTTTAATTATATTTTAATAGGCATTTCAAGCAGCAGAAAAACACGAAAATAACGAGATATCAAGCAATTTGGTGGTCTTCGAGGGAAGCGAGAGGTAGCCCTCTTGTCGTCTCGCCTCACTATGTCAAGCTGAAACTTGTTCGAGTTTTACATTAACTGAGGGTGGCATCAATTATTGCTTCTGAAACAATAATGGATGTCACCCACAGTTTCACTTCAGAAAGTGGAAATGCCTTCCATTTCGGCGTCATTTTGGAGGCTAGAGATTGACTCTTCTCCCTTCTGGGGGTGGCGGCGTGGGAGTCTCTTTGCACAGGGCGCCGAAATAACTAGGGCACTCCCTGGGGCCAAGGGCCTCTTGCTTTCGATACTGTACAACGTATCGTATCATAGCTTACTGCACTCCCTACTCTTTCCCACCAGGTGTCTCCTTCGCATGGTGCTGTAACATGGCAGCGCACAATCCAATAGGGCACGCAGCATGTTCGTCGTGTTCTTTTTCCGTTATGAAAAACAGCTTCCAGTTATTGATTTATCGCATGTCGAGTTGGGGAAGTACAGGGCAAGGAGATGATTGGATTAATAGTCGAAAATGGTTCCTGTAGACTAGGCCGTAATGTTAGGCTTATCTAAGACTCCGCTTACTTTTGGGGGTACAAGTCTTGACTTACATAGGCTGGGGTGTTCGAATAACCGTTACCAGATAGTAATCACGACCACATAAACAGACCTATTTTTTCAGACTGAAACCAACTACCCCATCAAATGGAAAGAGAAAACAGAAAGGGGTAACTTTTTTCATGTCTTAGTTACACTTTGATAGGAACGACCTCCTTCACATCATGCCAAGATTGAAAATGTTCAGGAAGGAGGCAGGTTCTGTCTGCACACTTAGCAGATGAAAGTAATCACTATTATCATATACTTGAAATGCCAATTTATCAAATGGATGATCCTCGAAGGATTGAATAGACAGAATTATGTTTCATTGATGATTAAAGTCTTTTTGGTGAATGTTAATTTCCTTCAAAAGGTCGAAATGCAGGAAAAAGTAAAACCAATTTTGCATCAAGGACACATTCTGATTGATTCTCTGTGTGCCTTAGGCTACATAAAAAATATATACTTTGGAATCTCATATTTCATAACACAGTCCAGGAAATACAGTGAAAACTCGTTAACTCGAAATATTAGGGACTGGGCAAATCATTTCGAGTTATCCGAAGTTCGAGTTATCAGGAATCGCCCCCCCCCCCCCCCCTCACCCCTTGACTATTGCCTTGACATAAGTTTAGGATTTTTGCATTCAAAAATTGTAAATGGTTTAAGAATACCCCCCCCCCCCCCCCCCCCAAAAAAAAAAAAAACTCGTTAAGGGACATAGGGGACAGAATGGCTTGGAGTGAGAGCGATAGATTGACAGAGCGAATGTTGGAGGCTTTTTTTATAGCCTAAGCTTTTCGGTTTTAATTCTCAGGTTTAATCCTCTCCACAGGCGTCTGTGTGGGAGGAGGGAGAAGCAGAAAAAAAAGAAAAAAAAGAGCATCCTCCCGAAAGGGTTTCTTGTCATTCATTCGATTCAAAAATCGAAAAGTCTCACGAGAAAAATTTTTCCCTCCTTCTCACCCTGAATTCGAGTTAATAGTGAGAAAATCGTTATAGGGAGTGAAAATTTCATTCGAGATAAGCGAATTCGAGTTAAATGGAGCTTTTAACATGGTGTCCTACGGGGTTCCGCCAGGACCAAGCATTGAACTTCGAGATAAGCAGAATTTCGACTTATCAGGATTTGAGTTAACAAGTTTTCACTGTACATGACTTCATATCTGAAAGTCTAGGATATTTTGCATACATTTTGGATGGAAAAATGATAAGAAAGCCTTTTCAAGAGAGAAAAAATCTATACCCATTGGCACATGGGATTTAGAGAACTCTCTTGTTCCTGTCAATCTCTAGTTTTTTCCCCCTTGAATTTAGCCTGTATCCAACTTAGGAATAACATGCTGTTATCCACTGGTTTTTTTTTTTTCTGGAGCTGTTATAAGAAGACAGAGAATTACATATGTTTTCTGAACAATGACAATTTATATTATACAGGATGAAATGAAACCTTCTACCAGAAATGATTCAATGGTGCAATGCATAGTAGTGCTACTTCAATTAATAACCAGAGCACAGCTGAGCCGGAGCATGCAGCTATACAGCCAAAATGATTAAATAAAACATATTTATTCACCCCTGTAAGCTTGCAGTGACAAACCTTTCAATTCCTAGACATTTCTATGAATGAACTCTTTGGTGTCTGGTCATGTTCATTTAACTCTCCTTCAACGTAATGCTTACTTATCAGCATATGTTTTGATATTCTGATATCAACTGGAAAAGCTCAGGTAGATTATAAACTTTTTCAGATAGATAGGTGCTTCTTTCTGTATACATTATTATAATCCATCAAATTATTTCTCTAATTCTCATTTCCACTCTTCAATGGAAAGTGTATGGTGGAAAAATCACTTCTTTAAGGTGCAGTTCCTTAAAGAAGTGATTCTTCATTGCTTTAACTGAGTTCAGTCAGTTAAGAAAACAAAAAAATACAAAAGGTAAGTATAATATATATATTCTTGCTTTAAATTCATGCTTGTAAATGGTTTAAGAATCCTTGAAGCTGATTTTACTGCTAGAATATTGAGCTGTTGATAATGATCATAAAATGGCTTTAATTGCAGGCCACAGTGTTGAATGCTTTTCTGCTTCCTGTTTCTACATCCAGTCTTGGCTCTCTCTTAGGACCCCCAACCTTTTTGTCCCTTTGGAGCAGGTTTTTGGAAGGAATCAAGAAGGGAGAAGAGAGGACATAAGCAGAGCCAAGGAATCCAAGTTGGGAATGAAAGAAATTACAATAAAACACTGATTCACATAATTCCTTGGAGCCAGGATTCTCAAGGATACCTAGAGGAAGTGTGAAGCACAGGCAATAAAATATGAAGAAACTTTTGAACTGGTGTTTACTGTGAACCATGAAGAAAAGCTCAATGTTTCAGGGACTGGAGTTCCCTGCAACAGGAGCAAAAAAAGAAAAACCAGGATATAGAGAAGAAGTTTAGGGTGAATGAAAAGTATTATTCTTCTGTTAATGACTGACACTCTTTATTGTGAAACTCCTTCAGCAGGTGATCAACAGACCTATTTGGAATGAAGAAGATAGGACATTTAAGAGACAAAAGCAGTCAGTTATCTAAGTTAAATTAATTACTGCCCTAACATGGCAACACAAAAGTCAAGTGGCATGGCTCCAGAAAAATGAGCATGGTGCATTTGCAAGTCTGATATCCATATATTGGGGCAAGTGAGGATGAAATTTAGTCAGCATTGTCATTGCCAAAAAAAAATCATTGGACAGGAAAGGTAATGATTCTTTTCAAATTGTGTCACTGACCTCCTTTTGTCATGACAGGGTTGTACAGAAAATAATTTTGGTTCTTAACTCTTTCTAAGAAGCATCACCATTGCCCTGCATTGTCAAGTCTTTGGGATATTCTCTAGTGTACAGATCACAGATCCATAATGATCCAGCCCCAGTATGAGTGTTTGAGCTGTCACATGGTGCCATTTGATGTGGCACTTCCAATGTAAACCTACAAACATGACCAACTCCAGGCTATCAAAGAAGCTCTGGTGTGTGCTCCTCCTTGGTCTTCCATGTCTGGGATTCTTCCTCTATGGTCGAAACATGTCCCCTGCTGCTCGCTTGCATTCCCACATGATCAGATTCCCCACTATCCTCAAATTCAGACCACAGTTAACTCCAGTCAGTGAAAAGAGGAACAAAAGTGCTACCTCTTATGAGTGGACCCAGTGGAATGTGTCTCTGCAAAAGGTTGAAATGCTTCACCAGGTACTCAACCCACCCAAGAAGATACAACGCAGGAAATACCCTGGAATGCTTGAGAATCTCCACAAGAAAAGCCTAGCTTCGATGAACAATTCCTTGAGTCAAAGACTGAATGCTTTCAAGAGCAACAGTGCATCACTGAATACCACAATGAATGTGAATTCATCATCGGGCTCCAATGACACGGTGGAAGAGGAGTTTCCTATTGTGATCGAACCATTGCCTGGCATTTGGAGGAATCTATCAGGCCCTCCTTGTCCACCCATTCCTCCAAATCTGAGTGAGTCTGTCATGTCCCTCTAGGATGATGAAAGGCCTTTTTTTTTAAGCCTCTTGGTTTTTTTTTTCTTTTCCATTGAGTCAAAAGATTCATGAAGTGGGCCCTGTTCTCTGGAAGTACATTACTTGCATAAGGCAGCTGGAAAAATATCATCAAAGCATATTCTCTTGCCTATCTCAGGTTGGGCTTCCAATAAATTTTGAGTCATCATTTTGCCTTTGTCTTTGTTACCAGGCGTGGGGGAAAAAAATGCTCTGCTGTTGAAATTTCTATGTATAAAAATCAGTCAGAGGTACAACTATATATGTAACAACATGCATGCATCTACATGTTGCCCAGATATTTGAAGAAAAAAAACAATCCCTATGCTGGTTTAGCTGCACAAGCACTTGGAAGTTTGTGAGTTTAATATTTGGAAAGCCCTGTGAGTCTTACAGGGATTTCCTAGGAAGTCTAAGGAGACTCACTGAAGATATACGATGCAACTTAATAATGCAACTTGATCCTTACAACTGGATAACAACATTCACTGATAACTTCCTTTGAAGAATAGCTTTTTTTAAATATTAAATCAGGGCATGCTTATTTCCAGAGGAAATGCTTCAATATCACTCTGTCTGCCTCCTTGAACACCATGATTACAATTGACGCAATAGATTAACTGACATGAAAGTGATCTAGTGCAAGGCCGTATTTAGGGGGGGGTTCATGGGGTTCAAACCCCCCCCAAAATATCTTCCTTAAATTCTTGCCATACCGTCTATCTTTAATAGCTTTTGACTTATTAAACACTGCAACTTACAGGAAAATCCAGATATGTCAAAAAGACTTACAATGACAAGTATAAAAAAAATAGCCACAGTGTGTACACCAGACCTCATCCTGCCCCGAAATGAAATCCTAGATATGGCCCTGATCTAGTGGACTGGCTTCCTTTCTAAGAGAGATTAACTATGGGTTGGGATTTAAAAATATTTTACTCACTATCTTGAAAGTGCTTCTGTGGCTATGCCAGATGTATAAAATTTCTGAAAAAACTTTTTGGATGACATGTAGGTGCATATATCCTGGAAAATGCATGACTGATTATCTATGATATAAAGCCATGTGATTTGAATATTCCAACATCGACAGTATCGGATATAAAGAAGTGTTGCAGTAAACTCGAACAGGATGCTGTCCCTCACTTTGAAGATGCATGAATTGAAGCAAAAGAATACTTAAACTAATGTACTAAATAAGGTACCCTCAGGGGTCTGAATTTTGAAATGCCACCTAGCCTATGACCATCCCTGGACCAAATGAGGAAGCCATGCAAAGTTTGGTTAGACTGGGATCAGATGTCTGGCTGTGTATAAGGGACAGACAGACAAACGCTTTGAAGTATAGTATTGATAGATATTTATTTATTTAATTAATTATTTCTAATAAAAAATTATATAAAATATATATATATTTTTCCTCTATAGAGGGAGAGCTTCATGTTCAGCTGAAGGCTCCCTCATGGGACACATTGAACAAGATGCACCCTGAGCTGGAAGTTGGAGGACGGTATCATCCAAGGGAATGTGTCACATCAAATCATGTGGCCATCATCATCCCATATCGAGATAGGGATGAGCACCTGCAAATCCTACTTCAGCATCTCCATCCCATGCTACAGTGCCAACAATTGGACTATGGGATCTATGTTGTTGAACAGATGGGTATGACCCATTCATTCCATCATGTCTGAAGTTGAGAGCAACCATGGCCTGCTTGTTTAATATTCTGTGATAGCCCCTTGAATGATGTGAAAAGTCTTCCTGAAGTCTTAAGTTTCTACCATTGATAAAGTCTCATTTTACATTTTTTCCTGTCTTAAATTGGACTGCTCTCTGCAATTTTACTAATGACTTTCCTATTGTTGTTTGTATATATATATATTTTTTAACTTTTTCATCAAAAAGGAAATTCAATGTGCTGTTGTAGGAAAGCTTGTATGTAAGTGTGGTGCTCTCATTGACACCTGTGGAAATACTACTGCTTCATCCTTCAAAAAATGTATATCACTACTCAGACTCAGTCAGTTGAACATCCATTTGGTTTCAGAGACATTTTTAACATCTATGAAATGAAATTGATGTTTAAATTTTTAACACTTTAATGAAAAATCTACGTGCATTTATAAAATCGAAGAAGAGCATAGAGTGGAGTGCACGAACCTTCTCTTCTTTACCCCAACCACCATCCATTCCCAAGCACGCAGTCTCCAAACGTTTTCTTCTATTATCCTCTTCCCATTCTTTCTTCAAATCCTCCATTACATCATATTCACCATAAATGACAATACTCTAAAAGGAGGCTTGTTAATGGATTTTCAGGATTACACAAATTATTTCTTCATTAGTTTAATTACTAGAAACTTTTGTTTCTATATATTTTTTCAGATAGTGTAAGGTTCTTAATTGATATGTATTTTGATATTATTAGTACCAGTACTGAGTTGCATCCAGTGAATATACAGCTCCCAGATATCAAATACACCAAAGCTTTACTTCTCCTATTTCTAAGAATTTCAAAGGATAAGCTTGACTCAGGAAGCCACAAAGGAATGAACATTTCCCTGGTCAATAGCAAGTTGCTTTCTTTTTCAGACACTCGTCTATTCAACCGTGCCATGCTATTCAATGTTGGCTTCCATGAGGCTTCCCTTTTATACCCATATGACTGCTTTATCTTCCATGATGTGGACCTCATTCCTGAAGATGATCGGAACCTCTACACATGCACTACTGAACCTCGGCACATGTCTGTCTCCATCAAATCATTCAACTATAGGTGTGAATCAAAAATATTCCTTCCTTTCAACGTTTTTGCATGTATTTAGGCTTAGCTTGGGAAGGGTATGGTCAGTGATGTTGACCTGTAGAAGTATGGAAAATACAGGGTATCCCAAAAGTCATGCAACCCAGAACCTAAAAATATATTATAAATGAATGAGGGAAGGTACAGTGACAAGGCTAGTCTTGTTTGGAAGCTGTAGAGATGACATAGAAATTACAGTCACATATAAACACTCAATCCATCCCAGATGATGTTACAGGAGGCGCTAAAAGTGTCCACCATATTGTCAGCACACTGCAAGTAGGGAAGGTCCCTCAGATTGTCGTACACATTTTTCTTCCAAACAAGACTAGCCTTGTCACTGTACCTTCCCTCTTTCATTTATAATACATTTTTAGGTTCAAGGTTGTGTGACTTTTGGGACACTCTATATATAAGTTAGGGATTGATGTGTTGCACTACACCCCCCATTGCAGTGATTGATTGCAGACAATTATTTTTTTTAAGTTGCTAGAAGTATGGGAACAAGATTCCTAAATGCTCTTGAACAGCTCATAGGAGTGGCACCTATCAGCTGTTCAAGAGCATACCATGTATTCTTTTCACTGAATTTGGACCAATTGAGAAGGGAAAAGAAGGAAAGGAGAGGGGGAGGGGGGAAAAATGGAGAAACAGAAGGAGCACAAGATTAAAACTAAGAATGCTGAATGGGAAAGGGATATGGATTATAGGGTGATGGGGTATTGGGACATGGGCCATGGCATATTTTTTTGGGGGGAGGGGGGGGCAGCAACCCCACCTGGTGATAATGGAGATAATATTTTTATCCCTTGATATTGCTTGGGTGGGGTGGGCCCACTGTTGCCTGCCCCCTCTGTCTCTTCCACCAAAATACACCACTGAACAGGGGAGATGCCTGGTCCTAATGACATCAAAAAGATGACCCCCTGCATGGTGGGAAGGGAAAGGGTAAAATATCTGGTATATAGGATATGGCACAAAACAAAAACAAAAAAAGATTTAAGACTTTGCTCTATATATCTCTGCTCCCACTAAAGCTATTTCCACAAAACTTTCCTTGCCTATGATTGGAGATGGTTCCAATTGCATCAGAATGTATTGTGCCAAGGCAAGGTTATGAGCAATTACTGTAAAGAAGTGGGTCATTCCATCTCAAATCAACCAGAGGCTGGAGCATAACCCCCTCCAATATTGGCAAAAAAAAATTTTATGTGGTACCCCTCATGGCCTAAAGTATGAATGAAAAATTTTGGCCTTAAAAACAACTTGTGATTTGTGATTTTTGCCTATTTCAAGCCATCACATCTCCTTAAGCAGAATTGGTTGGGACAAAAATGGGACACACACCATTAGATCTTTTCCTGCTGATTCCAAAAACATACATGATGATAGGGTTTTATGAAGATGTTGACATTTTGCAAATTAATGAATATGCCAAAATTTGGCAAATATGCTTTATTTCATTCAGTATTGTCTTGAGGAAAAAAGTATATGAAATAACTTTGAAAGTCTAACCTTTTTAAAGAACAATGGTGTTTCCTGTGTTCATTTAGGCCAGAAAGTTTTCAGCCCACATGAGCATGAAGAGGTGCCCCTTTTTCGAAATTTCACAAAATTTAACAAATTATTGTGCCAAAACAGCGCCATACCCAAAGCCAAAATTTTGCATTCTTACTTTGGGCCATGAGGGGTACCACATAAAATTTTTTGGCAATATCAGAGGGGGTCATGCTCTGGCCTCTGGCTGATTTGAGATGGAATGAACCAAGTTGGATACTGAAAATAGACAAGAGCTCATGCTAGAGGAGTGGAGTGCCTTCACCATGTGGTTGCATATCATTCAGGCCACATCAAATCTCTGTTTCATTGAGAGTTATTCTTTGAGCTTGCCTTTTCCTGCAAATGGTTGTAACAGGTAATTTTTTCTGATGAATGTTAAGGGAATCAATAAGCATGAATACAGAGAAATTCCTCAATATTTTTAAATTCAGTTTTTCCTTGGTTTACTTTAGAGAATGAGGCAGAATGGAAAACTAGAGTGTCCATGTTGCCTGTCTCACTGAGCAACCACATACAAGGTCAGGAATGTCTTACTATATATGTACTTCTTTTTAAATCTGATATGCCCAAAGGCTTCCATATCATGACCTGTTTGGAGGGGTGTCGGCTCTCTCCCGGGAGCAGTTCCAAGCTATCAATGGCTTCAGCAACAGTTACTGGGGCTGGGGTGGGGAGGATGATGACATCTCCTATCGTCTCCGTACCCGTGGTTATTACCTTGCTCGCTATCCATCCAACATTGCCCGCTACATCATGCTCAGTCATCCAAAGAGCAAAGGCAACCCTAAGAGGTCAGTGGTAAAGAGAGTTGGTCTGCTTCAGGTGCATGAGAAATGGCACTACCCATTTGATAAGGCTTACAGTACAGGGTGTTCCTATTTAAACGCAACATAGGAGATTTTTGCCGCCTGTTTGTGTAGTTCAGCACGTGCCTTATGGCTCACTGGGTTGCATATCTGGAAGGATGAGACCTATCACTCTGGCGTGTTTCCTGGCAGATAGGCAACCAGGTGGACCTTATAGTGTTTGCCGATCTCCACCTACAGGCAGGAAAATATTCCCTATGTTGCACTTAAATACAAACACCCTGTATATCTTTGCAGTATGCAGGTATTGGCAGTCAAGGAATTCCAGTGTCTTGCCTATGAATTAAAATTTATATAAAAAATAAGTTTTCACCAGCATTAGACTGCAAGTAATTGCAGGTGTAAAGCATTTCAAGATGTTCATCAAGAATCTTCAACTGTAAGGTTTTTATAGGTTCAGGTTTCGAAGATCAGCTTTGCTTTCTTCTGGTGGGAACCTTTTTTTTTTTTCTTTCTTCAAATAGAATATTCTGGTTCTTGAAGATTCTAAGTTTCTGCTGTCCAATTACATTTGGCAACACAAAAGGATATGTTTATTCAGTTTAACCATGGGTTTGCCGAATGCATTTTCAAGGACCCTAACCTAACCATGGACTTACCCTAAACTTCTTCACTTGGACATATGAATGCAACTCTTCATTATTCACAAAAACACAGTATTTTCCCCCCATTGATTCTTCTATGCAGGAACCAACTGCTCAAGACAAGCCGGAAGCGGATGTCAACAGATGGATTGAACAGTCTTAAGTATCAGCGCGAAGATCTGGTGTTCAGGCGACTTTATACGCTCATTCAAGTCAGACTTTCCTGATTGTCCCCTTTCTTGATCTAGTCTCTCTGCTGTGATATTCCTCACTCATTCAGACACTCCTCACCTAGCAACACAAATCTCCAATCATATCACCAATAGTTCTTTTTGTAAGCATAATAGATTCAACATTTATCAATGATATCATTTCATGATGGGTGTTAAGCAGTGTTGAATCTAGCTTCTAGTCCAGGTGGCATTCAGATGCATTTGTTCATTTGAAGTTACCATGACTTCCTTTTCATATGGTGCTTCCATTTCTGCAATGTTGTGTATGTGACTCTCAGAAAACAAATTGTTTCATTTATGTGCAATAAAAATATCTTGCAATTTGAAAGAAGAAATAAGCTTCCCAGATAGGAACATTTGCTTATTGCATTTATATATTTTTGGTTGTGTCCAGTGTTCAAATCCATGAGAAGCAGAAGTTCCTGTATACATGGTCATCACTGCTTTTCATTGCTGAAATCACTGAGTAATCTCCCAGATTATACTTGTCAGGCATGAGTGTCCTAATTGTGATTCCTGAGATCTGTGTACCCTCTGTGCCAATTAAAGGAGTTCTCCTGTTGATTACACAGTAGATTTATTCCGTTGACAGCTTGTTGGTAAGATCACTGAGATTTTTATGCATGAAAAATCATACTTGAAAGTGAAGAATCCACACACTACTTCCATCTTTCTCATCCACTCATGATGTTGTCTTAATACAATCAGCCTTCACCTTTAGATCTGAAATAAGAAACCAAATTCATGGAATGAGATTTTGAAACCCATGAACTTTAATTAGTTTGTGCTGTCAAACTTACATTTTCAATTTCACCCTCGCCCTCACTATAGCCTTCCTCGAAAGTGATATCTTCATCCAGACCTTCTTCCACGAAGATGTTCTCGTTGATTTTTGCTGAAATGGGAATGAATGCACTTTTGAAAAAGGTACAGGAATGAAATGATGGGCATCCATCCAGACACTTGAGAAAAAATTAGAAGTATCCCAACCCTATCTAAGGCTGCCATACCAGCAGTTTTTGAAACATTGATGCATCACCAAGATATATAATAGAAAATACAAAGTGAAGCAAAAAGAAAAAGGCTGCTCTTTGAAACTCTGTGGTGTTTTACAAAACAGTAAACTTGAAAGTATTTACTTCTATGTACTTTTTCATCCATTTATCACATGAGCAATTTTACAAAAGCAAATTGAATTTGTGAGTCCACATTGATGCTGACCTTCAGAGCTGTGACAGTGTCCAGGAATGACAATTTCTTTAAAGGCTTTTTTCTTCAGTTCTCCAAAATCCCCAGAACAGATATATCCCCTAACCACCTCCTGTCTTCTCCAATGTCTCTAGCAATTTGTAGCTGAGACTTACATCCTGAGAATATCATCTTAAACAGTCTTCTTCAACATGAACACAGTTTTCTTCAGTTTCAGCTAATTTTGACCTACTTCTTCAGTTTCTCACACCTTGCAAATCAATATTTTCAGTGAAAAACAAATTTTTCCCATTCCTTATTCTTGCATAACATCATCCTTTCATAGAGACTAAGAGTGGATTTTTGAACAGAGAACTATACAATAATGCAACTTTATTTTCAGAGAATATAATGTATTTTTCCTGAAAATGAAGCTGCATTATCAGATAGTGCTATGTTCAAACACCCATCCTTATATTTTCATGGGCATTCATATATTTTTTCTGGCCTGAAATTGGGAACACTGTGCATTCTAACTACCCTCCTACTAATACTGAGCCTTGTGTAAAAACAAAATTCAAGTTGCATTTACAAAATTGATTGCTCTGGTGGTAAAATGGACAAGAATTTTAATGTCTGGAGGATGTATAAAAGTCACCACAAATAGAAAACTTTTTGCTGTGCTACTTCCTTTCAGAAAGCCAGAGTTTCAAAAAGTACCACTTTTATTTACACCTTTTCTAGTATTTTTAATGAGTACTGGAGACAAAGAAGTTCTGAAATTGATTCTGAGGACATCAAGTCTAGTACAGAATCTTACATGGTCAGCAGTCTCTTCTGCACCATGCTGCTGTCTTAGAGACAGGTGACAAGATAAAAATAAGCCACCCTTAAGGAGTAGTTTTTTTTTTCTTCCTTTATTCTTCCATATGGCCAGCACTGGTTTCTGGTCCTTCCCTGTTTGATCCATGGAGGGGAGAGTAATTGTGATGTATGATGCATGGTAAGCATCCTGATTTCTCTCCATGGATCAAACACCCTAGCAACTTGTTGAAATTGCCTCCAGAGATGATCTCAGCCTGGCATTGCCTTGAAGTTGGACACTCAACAACAGTCCTATGGTGAAGTAGCTTGAGGCGCAGAGAAAAAAGAAACCGACACCTTCAACAATGCTGCCCTCTTCCCCAATCCTGGCATTTAGCAAGTTTTCTCCACATTGCCTCCTCTAGCAATCTTGAAACTTACCTTGATTTTTCTGCACATCTTCATGAGTTCTGCCTCTTTTCACCAGTAAAAATATTCTTGATAATGGGTTTGGGCAATTAGTATGATCCCACAGCAGCTACTTAAATTAATTATTTTGCATTAAATGAAAATTAATTAATTGTTTTCTCCATTAATATTCATCCCACACACTTGAAACTCTAACTGATTTCATAGTTTGCTAGTATGAGGTTATGTGCCAAATTTCATCAAGGTTACCAATTTCTTATTGGTTGTGCTTTGTTTTTGGCCGATGAGTATATTAAACAGGGAAGAATCATGCTTCTTTTATTTTTTTCCCTGAAAAGTAACACATCTTGCATTCTGCTGCCGGGAAAGAGTATAAATCCAGTGTATGGACTTATGGAATTACAGTAGTAGCTTATTCAAGGTGGTATGAATGATCAGAGAAGGCTGAAAATTTGTTCACATTTTCTTTCATCCTTTTTGATAATTTCAAGGGTCAACAATTGGTTTTAGGTGCATTAATATTTTTAATAACTTTTACATGATAAATGTTCAGCCTAAAATTATTCCATTTCAAATTGGCAAAAGTTGAAAACTGAGTGGTTATGCAATTTTCCTCATTAATTAAAGCATTTATTTGATATACATTTATTGATCTGCTAGGATCAGCTCATTTCATGCTATAAATTTCAAGAAAAACTTCCTATGAAGTATCCACAAAAGTAAAACTAACCACATCAATTCAATGAAGCTGTCAAAGCATTTTTAGTTGACTATGAAAAAGGATTTTCTTCTCCATAAAATTGAAGCCTTGTTCCATCAATGGGACACATATTAATGTCAAAGGACATATTGCTGAAAAATAAATTTTGTTTAATTTGTCCCTCTGATTTTATAACATTCCCTTATATCTCAGGGCAAAAACTCTTCGTACATTACAGAATGTAAAATAAATTATCATGGGCAAAAAGACAGGTGCTTAATGTAGAGAACAGACCTGTCTCAGGAATCTCTCCATAGGCCTTCAGATTGCGAGCCTCATCTGGATTGTATTTTAGAATGACATCAGCCTTGGCATCTTGATAATCCCGCAATCCCACCAGGATGATGTCACCTTGGTTGATCCACACCTACCAGAAAAACAAAAACAATTCCAGAGTCACCCTCAGCACCTCAAACCTTAGCAAGCAGAAGAGGACAAGAATAGAAGACGTGCCTTCTTGCGCAGTTTCCCACGGATGTGGCAGAGTCGCTTATTGCCATCAAAGCACATGGCCTCTAGTCGTCCATTGCCAAGCATCTTGGTCACTTGAGCATACTCTGTTGGCACAAGAATGACTAATTTGCACATGGTCCACACTAGGATCTTCAGACATAGAAAGCATGAAGCATCAATACTCAAATCATCTTAGAGCATTTTTACATTCAAAAGTATGCTAGTACTTGCAGGTACCTCGTCATTTGGTTACACATTAATGGATTGACCCTTGAACCTGAACTCTTTATCCTCTCCCATCTCAATCCCCTTGGCTAACAATTTTAGTAATTTTTCAGTAGCACAGGTCAATATTTTGGTCTGGCCCTGGTTGTGCAAAAATTGCCACAGGCTGATATTTCAGTGATAAAATATTTTCTAACTGCTGATCCCTTACAGGGCTGACAGAAGGTAGCTCTAGGAATACCGCTAAAGTGTGGTATATCTCTACTTAAACATGCATGGAACTTTTTGCTCATCCCTTGCTAGAAAGCATGGTACTAAGAGGGTTAATCTTATTGTAGTAAGTGCTGGTCCTTTTATATTGAATATCATGGATTTTGCAATGAAGAACTAAAATAATATTGGAATTTGAGCATACAAGCTCTTGATCTCTTTTTATTCAAGCCTGTGTGCACCCAAGCAGTTGTGTGATTCAGCTACATTTAATTTGTCAGCTTTGCCAACAAAATATATACCTTGCATTATCATGATGAGCTATCAGGCACAAGAGCATGTGCAATGACTCTGGAATCCCACTTACTCCTCCCTCCCATCTAAACCCCACCCCCAATTAACACTTTCGCTCACATATAACCTGCTTCCAGGTCATTTGCGTTGTTTTGCTCACTACAGTCCAGAATCTTGCAAGCTCTTCCTTTCATGTTTTGAATTTTGGCATTGCTTCTTGATAAGGAATTTAAAAATAGGCAGTTTCTTGACTTGTGTTTTATTACATCAAATATTCAAAATGAAATTTTGCACGAAGGTGAAATTACATCTTCCACATTTCTTGACATCTTGGGTGCATTATGTATAAAAAGCATATAAAAATGAGAATCCAAGAACATATGGAGATTTCTTTTGTATGTGAACTTATCAAAGACTTACAGAACTAGCTTCCATACGAGCAAACTATTTACAGAAGTTTCAGTAGGGTACTTTGTATGGTAATTTGTAGGGTACCATCACCAACATAAAGTTTGCAATTGTAAATCAATGAAACATCCTTAGAGCTCAAAAAATGAGATGTTGAGCTTTTCATCCATGATCATGAAGTCCAGATCCAATCAGCCTTAGAGTAGGAGTTTTTGGACAAACAGAATAGTATTATTGTATGCATATGCTAACAGTTATTCTTGAAAAATTCATATCTTCCCTATAGAAGCTGATCAACTTCTGGCCCATAGCATTCATATGGGACACATTAGAATTTTGAATAGCTTCTGAATAGATTCTGGATTAATAATATTGGGTGAGTCCTGCTCCCCTCCCCCCTAGAAATTCCTCATAAGCCAATTTTTAGGAAGTTCTGTCCCATAATATTTCATTTGATGCAGCAGATGGAGAATGTAGGAAACTTCCAATCATCAGAGAGCCCTAATTCCCCTTTAAAACGATTTTCTGTGAGTGCTGACTCATTTCATTCTAAGGAGTCAAAACTTTCAAATCTACCAATCAAAGAATGGTAATATGTTCTATCATTAGGGAACCCCCAATTGCCTGCATGCAAATTTTCTCTGTGAGTTCTGCCCCAAGGCAGACAGACAAATGTAGGCTATTATACAGATATACAAGAGACTGAACCACCACTTCCAGGCTTAATTTTGTCTTGAATGATAGAAAAATATCCATATGGCCATCAGACTGATCTAGACTTACCTAATAGTGTATTCAAGCCATGTGATAAAACCTAGATGTATAAACATCTATGTATAAGTAACATGGGACTCAGTGAGTTAAGATTGATTAGTCAATCAGTAAAGTCCTCTGAAAGTCAGGAAGACATGATTTTGGATTGACTCCACCCCCATGGGCTTCAAATTTTACCCTGTGCCTACCATTAAATTGTAAAATGGTAGTTCCCACTTTCAGATATGATACATTTTCCATATGAGCTTCTTATGGAAAAAAAGGCAAGTGAATTCTATGGACTCCAATGACTCTTTTGGAAAACTAGCAAGGTCACTAGGTCAAAGTTGCATTGAAATAGCAAATTTTGGAAAGCCTTGGCTCAATGATATATACAAAGATGACTGGACATTTCTTATACAAAATATAAGCTGCAATATTGCTTTCCGTGTTAAAATAATCAAATAAGCTATAGTTCTACAGAAGCACATAAGCTTAAGAGAAAAGCTCACAAGCTCTATAGAAAATCAAACGTGGACCATTTTTACTTACTTTTACTTTCTAACATGTACTGGGACAGACACTGACAAGGAAAAATGCTACTAACATATGAACACATAGTAGAGGAAAGAGGATCCCTGACGGCATTGCCATACCTCCCCACAATCACTGTTTTCCTCACTATATATTCTATTTCATGCTTTTGGGGAAGGTAATGGCAACTTTGATGCCTCTCAGGCCTGTAAATCTGGCATGTGTGTGCTAAATTAATTTCCCTTTCATTGCAACCAACATCACCTATTGTTCTTCAGTATTATCAATTTTTCACTGTCTTACATTTTTTTTGGCCCACCAGGCAGTATTGCTTTCTTTCTGCACTCATAGGTATTCTTTTACTCTGATGATCTGATGATCTACGGTGATGATCCAAATCATTGCAATAAATCCAATTCAGTCAGTTCCCATGCTTCTCCAACATTAGCAATGACTATGCACACAAGGTATTCCTTGAGGACTTCAACAGCAGTTCCAAGGGTAAAGTGTCAATCTAATTACACTGTATAATTCCGTCTCAACATATTCAATATATTCACCATTCATCAATAAGGACCTATATATACTCTTGTCTTCTTTGTCTAAGACAGATTCATCTTCCCTCCAGCCATTTCTCAACCTCTAGAAATTCCTTGGCTATCTCTTTGGCCTGGTCCACTTGAGATATGATGATGATGTGGGGCTACCCAGGCCTTGAAATTGGGTAATCACTTCCACCTATTTTCTGGTAACAATCAGGCCTGGATTCAGTTGGCATTTGTCTTTTCCTGCATCTGGATTATGACATCCATGCAGCAGAGGAGCTGAGAATAAACACATGGGTCAGAAAGATGGCCAAGAGGATGTGTCCTTGAAGAGTTTCAAATTATTTTACTGAGTGAGATCTGGTTTTCTGATGGCCAACTGCAAACTCGTAAGAATCCTCATAATGTTAGTGATGTCCATACCACTTTTCTGCCCTGTCAAACTTAGAACATCCTGGTAACTCATGAAGAAGGTGAGGTTGTTTTTTCTGCAAATCAAGAACCAGCTGAGAACCATGCTTCCCAACACTTCCAGAGCAAAGCATGTATGACCAAACTAATAAACTCCCATGAATAATTTTTGTGGACTTGAGTCAGTATCAACCAAAACAACTCAAGGTATCTATGGCAATTTCAGATCATGGATATTATTTTGAGGCAACAAGCATTGCGCAGGTTAGCCATTGCCCTCTAAAACTACAATTCTGAGCAAATTATCAAGACTTTGTCATTTCCTTTTTTATTTAGAATATTTGAGAAACATAAAATGCTAACTTGCAATATATGCAATTTTCTTAAAAAGAAAAATACTGTCCTCTTGTCCAAATTTGTTTGAGTAAGATTCAAGCATTGAGGAGAGTGCCAGCAAAGAACATCTTCAGTGTTTCCAGATGCATGCTTTCACCATGCAAATGAATTCATTTTACCTGATTCTGAACTTAAATAACTCTTCAGTAGACATAAGTTTAGGGCACTCCATGACTTTTGCTCAACACTGAACTGGGTGGTGGCATATATCAACTGATCTATAAGTCCTGATGGGATGATAGAGCTGCCACACCCAAGTAATATGTTTTGAAAACTGCTGCCATGGCAGCCCTAATATTAATTGCCTAAACTATGCATTCAAGTAATTTGCTACCTTATTCCTAATTGCGGGGCTTCTTTTAAATCAATTGGCCTATTCTCACCTTGTCCATCTTCTTTGAAGACCAATTCCCTCTTCTCAGTTTCATTTTCATTCTTACCTCGACGCCTGTTCTTTCCTCCCTTTCCTAAAAGAACAAATAACACCAAACATCAAATGTGAATTGTTCTAGGCTTTTCCAAACCTTAGCATAGGCTACAACAGTGACTTTAGTACCCTTAAACAGAGCTGTCCTCCAGATCCCTCAGAATCCACTGATTGCCACCCTATTAGTACAACCAGAGTTGATTAATATAACTAGGGTTGTCCTTTTTCTATGGCTTATATTTACAATACCTCCTCAAAGCCTCTTTAAATAAATAAAAATACAGTGTTTATCAAGTGAAAATGTGAGCAAATTTTCATTACTGAATCTGAAGGGACCAAAGGTTAGAGATACAGAATCAGTCACACAGCATTGAAAGGATAAAAGAGGTATCCTTTGCATATGAACACAGAAATGCATTCAATGTTTAATAAATAAATCTATGCTGAATCAACCACTAAGTCCCAAGCAAACACAAAACCTTTGCCATAAAAAATCTAGCACGTGAAACAAGAAGATAAGGAATGGCAAGAAACTCTTACACAGACTTTCTTTTTACATAAATTCCTAAGGAGTGCCCCACATTTAAGCATGAAAGTAAAGGGTTGTCTTTCTGCTAACTCAGGGTTACACCTGGCCATGGCTGTCTTCATATTTTTCTATAGTTCAGATGGCTTTAAAAGCCACAAGGGCCACACATGATCATCACCTGTGTTGAGCTAATAGCTCCTTTTTCTGGTACAGTATGAACTCTGCCTAGGGTTATTAAGTTCAGGCAGGCTTCATCCTTTTAACACTCTCCCCCATATTGGCCATGTCCTCATAAATTATATATACACTCCATGCATCCATGTAGTCAATAGACCCAGTTCAATTCAACCTCTACACACACAACCTCATTTTCTGCATTTCCAAGGTTCATGTCAGGAGGTACTTTCACCCCATTATGACATTCCCAGCCAAAGTTAAGTATGCACATAGAATGTAATAGGCCTACTCCTTTGAACTGTTTGACTGCCAGCCCAAAAATACCTGGCACACAAAGGGTTAAAGATAGATAATTTTGTCTTGACAGAGACATTTAACCTCATTTTTGAGCAAGTAAAAGAAAGGACAGCTAAATCGTCACTTAGAGCATTCCACAACTTTTCAATGATAAGCAGAAAGGTGGTGTTCTGCATACTTGCAGTCGTAATCTATCCCAAGTTTCAGTTTAGTCAAGCCAGAGGCAAGGCTCAGAACAGTCTTTACATTAACTAACATTAAACTCCATTCATTTTTTCAAGGTACAGTGTAGCCTACTTGAATATGACAACATCAACGTAAATGCTCTGATAGGTTATGCCTCATACATAAGTTAGTCACTCACCCTTATTCTTGGGCATGTTGTCGCTCCTTAGTGGTCACAACGGGCACAAATAGGTCAGAATATACTGGTCCTGATCTTTGCAACAGGTCTGTAGTTGCAATGGAATCTCAAGCCTTTAGAATACACGAGACGTATGCTTTCCTTCGGGTCGAATGTGGTGAGAAAATGCGAGAGTTGCCAACTCTTCATTGGGTTTCTGAAAAAAGAGCTGCATCAGGTTAAATTACTTTCTTCATGCACGAAATGTATGTAAAAGTAGGTCTATGCACTATTATTCTTATCTGTCTCGGGGAATATCCTGTCTACGCTCACTGTCAGTGTTTTTCACTTGAACTAGACAATATTTCACTTGATTTGGACACACGTCCATGGGACGTTCCTCATACATGAGTGTCGAAGTCAAGTGGAAAATTGTCTGACTCAAGTGAAAGACTGTAGTCTGAAAGTTGATCCTATTACGTCACAGGACTAGACTTCGATTTTGCACAATTTCACATGCGAGCAGCCATTGCGAACTGTTGGCAATTAATGCCTGCTCGGGTCGAGACGTCCGGTCCTGCGGTCTCTCGGTGGTCCCGCGGTATAAGAGAAATGTTTGACGGTCTACTATTATCTTTGTATGAAGACAGGGGAACACCTCTACTATCGATTCATTCAAGGACAAGTACTACGAGGTACACAAAACGCCCAAAATCTGTATTGTAGTATATTTGCTATGTTTATGCAAAGATTACGCTATGTTTAATGACACGTTCAATTTACAGTTACACAAGAGTCACTTTCAATTTGAGTCAGATTTGGCAAGGTTACGAGCGTGGGCCTTTGTTTACGTCGAAGTCGAAGATGCTTGACAAGAACGCTCATGTGGAAGCTTGCGTGATATCTCAGTGCATTCTAATTTTTTTTTCGATTAGACAATGGCCTTAATACGAATGCCAAACTTTCCACATTCAGAATTTCTTAAAATTCAAGGACAAACAGTATGGTCACAAATGTTTTCAGGAATCCGAGCCTAGTGGACCAGTCTGGCCCGTTCTGGCTTAGAGGTTGAGTTTTCATCATAACCTAACTTACTGATTACCAAGCGAACAGAATAACATTAGCACTAAAGCTTAACTATCTAACATACAATTATATAAGTAGGATGATGGAAAGAACCAGAAATCAGAATGACTCCAAAAATGGAAAATAAAGAAATTTGGTTGCAAAAAGGCAAAAAAACTATCTGGCATTCCATGAAGGTCTATTTGTCATTAGTCAAGGTTATCCAGTAGGTACTTAATGAGTTTTGCTTTGAAGTACTTTATCCATGCCTGATGTTATATGAATTTCCAATGGTATTTCATGGAAAGCCTTGCATAGCAAAGAGATAATTGATAATTTTGGATAATTTTGAATTGGCTGTAATTTAAATTCCTCTACTACTGCTCCTAGTTTGATGGTCATGAGTATTACTTATCAATTGAATAGAAAAATTTGTTGAAGTGTAATCATGTATAATTTTCCCTCTTCTCAATGGGTATTGGAATATATAAATTACAAGGCAGTGTCTATTGGCTGAGCCAGCGCAGACATCACATGAGGGACAAACTGGAAGTAAACTGACTCGTAATGTCTCCTCAGTTCATGACACCTAGATTCTCTACAAGAGAGCTTAGCTTCTAAGTTGTGGCTGAGCTGGCTTTATGAAGTGAAAAAGGATCTCTCAGGTTTGGCCTAAAATTCTTAAAAACTGCTGCATGTTCCAGAGTGGTGGCTTTCATCATGTTACAAGTACTATGTATGTTGTTTTAAGCAATTTCAACCCAAGAGTACCTATTAAGATGCAGGATTTCACAAAAAAGCCCTATCAGTGTGCAGGGAATTGAGCCTTTAATGGGTGTTAGTTGATTTCAAAACAGGTGCCCCCAGGCCAAGAAAGAATTTCCCCACTTCTCAATATGGGACATCTTAAATTAGTTTAAGTGCATGTTATCTATTTTCTATCCTGACATAATGTAAAAAGTTTTTAAATGACCATGATATCCTTTGATGATAAAGACCCATGTGAAAATTCCATGTATGACAGGGTGTATGATTCTGTATGGTCATGTATGATCATATATTTGCCATATACCACCATATATGTATTCATATATTAACAATTGTATGGTGCATAATATATTTTACCTGCATTGCAATATTATATATGATGGGTAAATGGCATCATGCCTGATATGTGGTGAATATGCATAGGCAAGTTTTATGGTTATAAGTAAAACATAGCATGAGGTCAGTGGTGTATTTTGATTGAAGAGTCAGGGGGGACAGGGCAGCAGAGTAGAGGCACCAAGCCCTGTCCCAGGGATGCCAGGGGGGGGCAGCTGCACTCCCCTGCCCCCTCCCTAGAAAATACACTACTGCATGTGGTTGTTACACATGAAGGCAATTGACCTTCAGATGCCTCTGCAACTTATTTTTAATGCACCTATTGTATTTTGCATGAAATATTAAGTACATAGCCCTTAAAGTAATTTGCCAAAAGTTTGATTTTGAACTCCCCAGCTGAAAGTCCTTGTTGGAAACAGCTATAATTTCCAGCTGAACCTCAGTTGAAAATTCAGACCTATTCCAACTGGGTAGCAGCTGGAAAGTAAAGTCAGATCCAGATTGTTCCTAATTGCAATACACTGGTAGAATGAAAATGCTTTTTTTGGTTATTCTTGCTGGAGGTCCATCTACAGAAGCAGCTGAATTTCAACTGTAAATTCAGCTGCATTTCAACTGGAGGGTCCTCTGTATAAAATTCTAATGGTAAATTTCCAGCTGTAAAACAACCTGTATCTACCATTTTTCAGCTCTTTGCCAGCTGGAAATGGTCAGAATATACAGCTTCTGTCCACCTGAAAAATTCCAGTGAGGATTTCAAACTGGGCCCTACCCTCTCTAGGTAGCATAAGTGTATCGCAGATGAAAAAGTGTGGGAGGAGGGGGGGGGGCATGGGAACTTTGGGACATTGTTATCATGCATCTTTCCTTTGTATTAATGGTTTTTTTTTTNTATATTTTCATTCTTATATGATTTTATGTGACTTATGTCAAACCCCATACATGTTTCACATATGTTCATATATGTATTGCACTATATGGTCATATATGCCCCTTATATGTTGGACTGGTTAAATATATGGCCATTTCATATATGGTCTTATATGAAATTTTCGCATGGGGAGCTATCTAGTTTTATGTTGGTAGGCTGAAAAAGATTGCTCAAAATCTTTCCTTGAGACAAAGGAAGCACCTTCCTCTAGCTTGAAAGACGCCTGTGTTCTGTGGGCTGATGAAAGCTTTATAATGTTAAGAGTGATGTTAGAGATCACTATTCTCAGCTCAGCCCTGAAGTTGGGGCCAAGCCAGCTCAGCCAATAGACACTGCCAAGTTATTTGTTGCTTCAAAGCTAAGCTTTTCTGCATTTTGAAGAGGTCTAAGGGAGGAGTTTTCCATCCAACTCAACCCAAATTGACTGATGGACTACCTTTTCCTTAATGAGGATCTCCCAATCAAACTGGAAAAGTTAGAAACCCTAGGCCTTAGGTGTTGCCATCATATTCCTAAGTTCATATCTGATCTGTTCATATAATTCTGAGTTTCAGGTGGGATATAGCAATGAGAATATTTAAATGATTTTTGAAACCCTTCAAGAAGGGAGTTGGTGTCTTGGAGTGTTCCCTGTTTTCCTCTTATCTGAGCCTGTGAGGAAGATGTTTCTGGGCAAGTTTTTCGAGGTTGTTGAATTACGGGAACATGAATTCCCATCTCTCAATGAAAATGAACTATTTATGGCACAGTATGCCCTCCTTGCTGTGCTGGGGTTCCTCTCTGTGTCATATGTGTGGAAAACATATTTGCACCTCCGGCAGGTTAGTGGCCCTTAACTGCATGCCTTATGTATAGCTTATCTTCATGTTGCACTTATGTTGTGAAACAGTTTTCAGATGGAAGCATGTTTTTTTTTATTATAGAGGAGATCACTGAGGAGAGCTGATGCTGTTCCAGTAGAACTGCAAGGAGTCATCAATCAGGAAAAATTTGATGAATCCCGAGATTTTGAGATTTCCATGTGCAACTTCCATCTTCTCAAGGAGTTCTTCCACCATCTTCTAGTCATTGTGGGTTGGGTTTTGTCTTGAGGATCGCTATCCTATAGACTGGGCCTAATGTGTTAAAATTTCAAATATGTTAAAGTTCATTATTTATTCCCAGCAGAATTACATAGGAAACCATATTAAATAACCCAATTTCCATTAGCAATTGAGGTTTTATCCTGTTTAAGTAGGGGTTTTGCATTTGGGCTGTGAAGCTTTTTTTTTTTTTAAGTTAAGACAGATTTCTTATGAGTTTAATGAAATCATGATGACATGACGATAAAAAGTCCTGTGTTGCCAGACATGCAAAATTTTGTTATTTTCTGGTTTCTTCACCCATCCCCTACTGATGCCTGTGGTGGGGACCAATACCAAGGTTCTTTTGTCAAAAGAAATGGGAGAATATTGGCACATGCCTTGTTTATCACTCTCATTTGATACTTCTCCTGTTTACATATGTTTTGATGAAAAAAAGAATGCAGTCAACTCTCATTTATCCAAACACCAGTAATCCAGAACTCCCTTTTATTTGGCCATGTGGAAAGGTCTGGGCAGAAACCCCATAGGACCTATAATAAATTTCCTCAGTTATTCCCCAGCTCCAATTTATACTGATTAATTCTCTGGTCCTTTGGGGCTTTCTTGCTAATAATCTGGACCCCTTAGCAAAAGAGATTAAATACAACAGAAAAAATTTTCTTCTGTACTTTTCCCTCACCCTGGAGTGAAAATGAAAGAAAAAACTCTCCTCCCCTTTCTTAAATTGAGAATCCTCTCTTCAGAGAGATTTCAACTCTTTGCTGTGATTCTTCATATTCTTTAGTCAGCTTCATCTGTCCTTGTCATTAGAGCCTGGAGAAGTTAGAAGTTTTGAAGTGCTTGCTTTTCACCCATGTCTAAACATAGGTGAAAAGCAAGTTGTGGTAGACCTAATACATGATTTGAATATTCCAACATCAACAGTCTTAAACATGAAGAAGTGTCACAATAAACTTGAACCTGATACTGTCTGGCCTGTTGTCCCTCATTCATGGAAATGCAAACTGCATGTTTTGCACTTGTTTCTGTGAAATGGGCTCTTCCACACAAACTTGCAGTCGTTGTTGGGGGCACATAAGATTAGAGAGCTATGCTGTCCCTGGAAAGTGCATTTTAAGCACATTTTTTGCACGAATCAAACCCAAAGAAAAATTGAGATTTATTGAAATCAACTGGTTGAAATAACAATCAGTGATTTCCATTTGCATGGGAGAAAAAAAAAATTAATAAAGGAAGTCATTTTACTGAACATGGAGAGCTCCATATTCTTCTGGGGAGAGGAAAAAAGAGAAGAAAATTAAGTTTTCAATAATCTTGACAGTCACTAGTCCCCTGAAGTCCAGATTAACTGGAGTTTGCTGTATACTGTATCTGGTGATATCCTCCCCCCCTGAAATAGGACATGAAATTGTCTTTGAGGATGTAAAAATTTCCTTCCAAGTAATTTTCCTTAAGCTCAAAATTTTTAGGGAGCCTCAACTAATGAGAGCCAATTTTTGATTAATTGAATTTGGATAACTGGAGTTGATTCGCTTCAAGGTGACTAGTTCCTGTAGACCATGGCCTAATGCTTTTTTTCTACTGGGACTAGCCTACCTGAAGTTGTCATAAACCTTTGTTGTAGCACTCAGCATGGTCAAATAAAACCTACTCTTCATTTCTGTTTTTTCAGCTAATCTTGGTGTTTGGAGGACTCCCATTCGTCTGGAAGTTGTCACATAGCATCTTCAGCTGTCTTTCAACCAAAGCTGGGTGGAAGTTGAAGACTGGGAAACTTGGGGAGGAGATTATTCTGAGTGTCTTATGCATGTTTCTCCTCAGCTGGTTCAATGCCCTCCTTTCCTTCCCGTTTGCAATCTATGAGGCTTTTGTCATCAGGGCAAGACATGGAGTAAAGAAACAGGTTGGTGACTATTGCTTGTAACTTTTTTTTCCTTTCTTTTTCTCAGCTTCCTGACAAGCAAGGAGCCCACACAGAGTAGTGTAAGACTGGGAAAATCAGGTACTGTGATGACACCTCCATGTCATATGACCCCCCTGTGGAGGTCTGCAATGAGCAGATGCCCATAACGTGCTCCCTGAAATGAATAACAGCATATGACAGGAGATCCACCTTAATTTAACAAGAAATGCTTTTTGCATTGGCGTAGAATGTGCTTCCATGCCTTGAAAGCATTTTAACCACCATTGGAACCCAGATTGAACCATTACTGCTAATCACATTTGTTGTTGTTGTTGTTTTTTTTTAAAGAAAAAGGACAGGACATACAGTGGACACTAATGACAATGGATCTATTACAGTACACAGAGAGAAAGGAGGTACCCATTTGGCACAGGCACCACATCTGAATGGCAGTCCCTTGGGCTGGAACACCCCTCAATGGTCCTATAAAATGGTCCTGCCAAAGGGGCAGTTCGTGGGTTACTTAAGTCCATGACTGGCACAAGTGATTCTTAAAGTGTACTGCATCCATATCTCCAAGAGGTGGCACACAGAATGGCATGTGTTTTCCTACACTAAGCAGACACTCCCCATGAAAGCAGGTGGGTTGCCTGTTTGTGGAGGAAGAGCCCACTGCCACCCAGACTTGATCCCTCACCTCCCAGGTTTCACTCAGAAGCCAGAATCACTCTGCCACTGAATCCTGGTTATTAATCACCTGTGCTATGCATTATGGTTGCAGGGCACATGACACAGTGGTGGTGTCATCTTAACACCTGTCTTATTTGTGTTCATTAGCATTTAGATTTACAAATTAGCCCAACATCCAATTTTCCCTATCTTATGTCACTCTGTGTATGCTCCACAGCTGCCTGAACAATGAAAACGACTTTTGGAAGTCCCCTTACAAAGGCCCTTGAAAGTAGTAATATATGCCAATCGGATAAGTGTAGCTCCTAAATTGATTCAATCCAACAAGTCTTCCTGACCTATTTCAAACTTGCATTGCAGCTATGGGGAAAATTGCATTACATAGCTGTTAATTTAATCCTGGTATTCAAACAATAGGTCCTTGGGCAATTCATCAAGGTATTATTGAAGGAATATTTCAGATGCATAAAAATTAATTATTCTCAACATTGAATCCTTTAGTGGAAGTTGGTAGCACTACTTTTACTACAAGATGCATTCTAAAAGTAAAAGCCATTGATTTACTATTCTTGGATGAGGAATCCCACAGTGCTAAGGTATGCTGATTTTCAACATAATCTCAGTTATGAAGGCCTTCCAAGTAATTGTTCATTGACTTCTATGTCTTGTCAACAAGGAAAAAGAAACAACCTGGGATACAAAAGCATGATCTCCCCTTCACCATGACAATGCTCCCTCCCATAATGTCAGGAATTTTTTTTTTTCATGTAGAGATCAAACTTCCTTATCCATTGTAATTTCCCAACCTTGTTTTTGGTGATATTTGGCTGTTTGGAACTATGAAGGATTCATTGCTTGGAAAGATGTGAGTTCAATAAGTGTTCTTCAAACTTCTTTTATCATTTGTAAAATAGAATATTTCTTGAGTCCCTTAAGTTACTTTTGCTGAATCCCTCAAGAGCTAGGTAACTTGGAGGGAGTGATCATGAGAAAGACAGTGATTATGTCAAAAAGTAATACCTTTTGCAAAACCATGTAGAACCCCATTCAAGATCAGTAAATAAATGGGTTTTACTTTTAGAACTCATACAGGTAATCATTACTGCATTACCTATTTTATTTATATATTTATTGTAATTATTTTATTTTCTGTAGACTTGGTGGCAGTTCATCAAGGAACACAAAAAGTCATTCTGGGTAGCCCAGCTCTTCATCCTTCCCATCACAGCTGGATCAGTTTGGTTTCTGGGATCTCAAGGAGAATCTGCATTTCATAATCTGTGGGTGGTGTCTGCAATCACAACACTCTTCCTTACCACCATTTTCCCAACTTGCATGGCATTATACTGCAGCAAGACAATTCCACTTGGGGAAGGTTCCCTTCGAACTGCCATTGAAGACTTTGCTTCTTCTGTTGGATTCCCACTTAAAAGCATCTCTGTCCTTCACAGTGAGAAAAGTCCATTTTCCTCATAAGCTTGCTCCTAATACTTTTAAAAGTCATTCTTGAGATTATGTGTGCTAGATTACAAGTTTACACAGGATGGCACAAAAAGACTTAGACCATTTCAAATCCTTATAAAATTCTTATTTTTCTTCTGATTCTTCTGAGGTTAAGTCTTTTAAAAAGCACAAAAGAATGCTTGGTGCAGTACACACAGACACTCGCTGGCCAGAAATGCCATTTTTATTTTAAGACTTGCTGCATTATGAAACTTCTTGGTTGTGTTGTGCACTGGTTAGTTCGTGAAATTCTTTCTGAAAATTTTTGTCTGAAATGCCTTGCAACAAGAAACGGATAAACAGTTTTTTTAATATACTTTGACTATGAGTTTTTTTTTCTTCAGTAGGTTACACCATTTCAACAAATCTGGAAAATATATATAGCGTTAGTAAAACCTCTCGAGTTGCACTTTTAAAAATAAATTTTATAATAAATTAAAATATTCTTCTGATACTTTAAAGTATCGGAAGAATAATAAAAAAGTTTGGGATTTGAGATGGTCTTAAGTTTTTGTGCACCACCCTGGGTATGAGTATTCTTTTTTCTTCAGTTATTTGCACCATTTCAGCAAATCTGAAAAGGAAAAGACAGTGTTAATAAAACTTTTTGAATTGCACTTTTAACCCTTTCAGTCCATTCCATTGGACATTGCATTTTCATTGTTTCTTTGGTAATTTCTTGGGATTCTCATGACTTTGCATCCCATATTACACTACAATGGACTCAATTATGCATGGCTCAATTCTGTTGGAAGCCTTCTCTCACCTGTCAGTTTTGTAATCTTCAGTTATGTAATTACATTTAGAATATATAATATATGGTATATGATAAATTTATACAAAATATAAAAACAAACGATAGAGCATAAAAATTTAAAGTAGAATAGGAAAAGAGCTCAAAAATGAAAAAAAGTATATCATTCTGGTGGTGGCCTTAATTTCAGGTCTGAAAGGGTGTCTCAGAAGAATCAGAAGAAAAATATGAATTTTATAAGGATTTGAAATGGCCTAAGTTTTTGTGTGCCACCCTGTATCTTGTATTGTTTAGTTTCCTTTATTAGTGCTGGAATTTTCAGTTCTGTTAGCAGTTTTTTCAATTTTTTTTTATACCAATGAGGAAAACATCTAGAGAAAATCAATTCATAATAAATCTTATTCATAAATCTGTGGCAAGATATGGCAGGATGTTGTCAGTCTAAGTTTTTGCAGATGAGTGAGCTTTAGTCACAAATTAGAAAATCTCTTTCATGCTCAGGTTCTTGCAAACAAGACAAAAATAAGGTTTTCACATATGGAGTATGGAGACGAAAGCACTTGGTACTATCAGAAGCCCTGGTTGAGGTCACTGTGACCAAGAGAACAGTGGAAGAATCCTTTCCCACAGCCAACAATACTGTCAATCAAGTTTCCAAAGCAGAAGGAGATGATAAGGATGAGAATGAGAGACCAAAGGAGAATGATGAGAAGGAAGAGAAAGAGAAGAAGAAAGAACTGAAAGTGCAAGAGATCCTGGAGGCCAAGACTGTCAGAACTCCATTTACAGAAAGTGAAGTAGTGGCTCTGGTAACACGGGAATTTGGGCATTGGCATTACAATCACAATTTCATCTGTATCATACTTACTCAGGTGACTGTTTTTTTTGAAATTTTGCATTATTCAGTGGCACATTCCCAATGAAATTCCAACTTTGCTCCTTAATGTTCATGAGGTAATATCAGATCCTTCTCATGTGCCAGTACTTGGCTGCTTCAAAAATTCTTAGCTCTATTTCCATGATTTTTTTACGCTATCCATCAGCCAGGAATGGCCATTATTGAAAGCCATCCTTCATGTGCTTCCTGTTCTAGGTGAGCCTGTTCATGGTATCTGTGCTGATTGGGTACCTATATAGCCAGCCAGTCATCTGCCATGCATTTGGATTCCCCTTTGATCATCCCATCCTTATGAGGCTCTTGGTCATCCTGGTCTTTGTCCTTGTTCCCTATCGAGAGGTCTGTTATCATCACACATGCCAAACTTAATTTTAATTACTTTCCCATATGTCAAATTAAAGGAAGAAGGGGAAGTGCTACTGCAGTAAATGCCACTTATTCCCAATCCCGATAAAGACTACTCTCAGTTATTAGCAGCTTTTTCTGGGAACCAGTTAACTTTAACCCAAACAGAATTTGGTTATTTGCAACTGCCATCCCACTTATTGACCTCTTCCTGTGTGTGAGAGCAGAGAGTGGTTTCATCAACAGCTTGAGTCAGATTGACCAACAAAGTTGCTACTGGCCAGTAACTGATTTCTGTACCCTATTCCCCAATAAAAGTCATGGTAATGCAAGCCATTTTGTGAATTTCTTGAGCAGTGAACATGGTGCTGTGTCTAAAGTTACTACTTCCCAGGTGTAGACCTGTCTTTTACTGACAAATATTATGTTCTGGAGATGCTGCATGAACCCAGTGCTAAGCAAGTGCAAGTTATTGAGAACTTTGATATGTCCCGTTTAAGTATTTCAGGCCTTTTCAAGGAGTCTTGTTGTTTGTAAAAGAATACCAGTAACATATAAATATAAAATAGATAAATATATGAAGCATTCATTATGTAAGATTTTTTGTTGTAATTTCATGTCACTCACCTGCAGTGCTGATTGTAGTATACATATACTTGAAAATGGACATTTCAATATTGACAGTTTTCAGATAACTTTTTGCCAGGAACCAAGTGGTTGGTAATAAGTAGAATCTACTATAATGATAGAAGTCATGGATGTTTTCAAGCAATATAACTCTACAACAAAGATCCCACAGACCCAGAAAGCTTTGAAAAGTCAAGGAAGTTGAAATGTGACAGGAAACAAGTCAGACAAAAGTAAAAAATTATCTGTATTTCCCCAAAAATCAGAGAACTGCAGAAATCTCATCATTGGTAGCTCATGAAGAAGTGGGCAACAGTACTTGAAAGGTAGAGACTGTCTGCAAAGAGGCATCTTTTTTTAAAGAAAGTTATGCCCAAAAGGACCCAGGATACACCTGGATGAGTCAGAGATCTTGGTTGCCAAATTTTTTTTGTAACAAAAACATGAGAACTATTTCCCTAACTTTCACATGACATCATCTGCTTCCTTTCCTTGTTTTTCAGGAAGTGTATTTTTATCATTCAAGTATTGTATAATTTATAATACATGGATTTGTGTCATTCTCCTTATAGATAATGGGCTTCCTTTGCACCTGGTCCAGACGACGATTTGAGTTTCAGGCTGATGCCTTTTGCAAGGCCCAGACCAAGGCTGAATCCCTGAAAGCAGCTTTGCTGAAGCTGAATTGTGATGACCTCAGCTTCACCGTTGATGACTGGCTTTTCTCTGCATGGCACCACTGCCAGCCCAGACTTCTTCAGCGTCTTCAGGCTCTCCAGAAGACTGAGTGAAAGCCTGTCTTCCTCGTACATGGTATCAGGGAAAGCCAGCTGTCATGGCCACTTCAGCCAAAATAATTTTTTTTTCTCTCTGAAACTAAGGAGATCTGAGATCCCTGGACAATATTGATGCCTCTCAGAAGATCAACTAAGTACAAGGGCCAGAGTACAAATGTACAGCTTTACTATGCAACCTAATGTATAGGCAGCCATGATGTGGTGCGTTTGGTCTCATGTATGTGCCAGTAAGCTTTCTTTTATAGCTTTATATCGAAAGTGAGAGCAACTTCTTCCAAAGATGATCAAATCTTGTATGTACTGACATTGTGTTCCAAACTATGATGTACAGAAGTGTAATGTAAGTTTCTTTTTCTGCTGGTTATACTGATTCTTGTGATGTATTATGGTATTCAAAAAAAGGCTTGAAACATGCATGCATGGACTGGCCTAGCATTATGTTCACTTTCATCTATCTGATTTTGTCTGCATTTCTTTGCAGTTTTTTGTCGTATTTTTTGTGTTATTTCTGTTTTGTTTTTTTTTTTGTTTTTTTCCAGGTGCAGACTACTTATTTTGTTGTGTATTTTTTAAGGATGAATTGTCTTTTTATCCACTGGTTACTAGTCGCTGCAGATCTGCTTATTTACCTCCCGGTTTTGCTCAGCTGCATTTTGCCAGAGTGATGTGTCTCTTTGAATACAATTCACTTCACTAGTGTTTCAGGCCAGGTTCTTTCCCAATAATATATAAGTCTTGGCATTTTATGGATATGGCCTATCTTTGTACTACCATGAATGAATTTTCCCCTTTGCAGAATAAACTTCTGACAACTTAGTAAATAGTCATCGGTAACATCATTTGTGCATCTGCATGCCGTTGTTGCCGAAAATTTTCATCTGATGTAAGGTAGCTGATTCTACAGGGTGGCCCAGAAGTAATAGGGCAGTTAGTGGTACAATCAGCAGTCGCTAAAATTTTTATTTGCAACCTTTATTATTAGTGATTATGAAATTAAAATAAAAAGCAATCAATAATCAAAATAAAAATAATAAAAATATAAAATTATAATTATAAAATATTGTAGTGACTGCTGATTGTACCANAAATTTTTATTTGCAACCTTTATTATTAGTGATTATGAAATTAAAATAAAAAGCAATCAATAATCAAAATAAAAATAATAAAAATATAAAATTATAATTATAAAATATTGTAGTGACTGCTGATTGTACCACTAACTGCCCTATTACTTCTGGGCCACCCTGTAGTATCGTGCAATGCAATCGATTTTCACTGAAAAAGAATTACAATATTGAATAAAATACCCAGCGATGGATCATGGCGCAGGAAAATTCCAACTAAGCATGCTTTACGCGCAGACCCCTGCAGTGACAAAACCTCTCGTCCTCGATCTGTGAGTCTCACCGACATGTCTAAAATGTCTGTCAGGAGGATGTGAGCCAGGCTACTATTGGGCTTGTGCTGTTGATCGCCTTTCTATGAATAGCCCTCACCTCTCATCAGTAGATCGGTACACTTCTACAGATAAAGTTTCAAACATGCCCTCGAAAAAAAAGGGGTCACATGGTGAGCCCCGGCGTAACAATCCTGGAATGCGGCTATTCCCTCGTGAACGTGACGACCGGCTCGAGATCCCCACTAGAAGGTAGGAATCGGAGATGCTCTTCCGCCATCGCTGTGTCCTGGCGTCGTTCTAGGTAAAATGGGCATGGGATCTCTGAGAACATCCATTCAAGGAACTGTTTTGCAACTAGCTGTACGACAGTCTCTCACGAGTGTGAGAGCCTTGGACACTCGACCATCACTTTCCGTGTAGAGTCTGGAAAACCTGCACTCTCAGGATTCTCCGCGATTCATGTCTATGCGGGAGGCTCGTAAAGGTTTCCTTGGAGTTGCAGGAGTCATTCCATGTGATATCAACACAACAATGTAACCATATACCTGACCTCTTCCAATTTTTATGAGAATTTGTGGACCCCTTGAGAAAGTAAATTTCAGTTTCCTAGGTAAAGTGGTTTTTGAAGTACTGCGATTTGAACATGACCAAAAAGAGGCGATTTCTGATCCAGTGGTCATCGCTCAATTGCCCCTAAGTTTTACAGTAATTAACGTAAATAGACTAAATTAGTGTCATTTTCAAGCTCTTTTAATGCATTTTTACATGGGTTTCATGGAGTGAGTGTGCAAGTGAAGGTCAAAGGTCAAACCTTTTGGTCTTTGACATTTATTTGCGGAGAAAAGGTCAGTTAATTTTTTTTTTCCAAATAATTAACCCGACAGTTTTATTTTTGAACGCACCAAATTTAAATTTGATTGAAAAATACGAACAATAATGTGGCAGTGAGTGATCAAGAATCTGTAGAGAATGCGCTTTGGAAGTCTTGATGCATCTGGCTCGGGCAAAAATTTGTGGATAAAACTTTCGCTTGAGGTAGTCAGAACAAAGCAGTGTTTTAAAATGTTGTAATAAACAGTTATAATTAGTGATATATAACTAATTTCTAGATTTTAAAATCGTGATGTGTCGTTTTTTCTTCCAAAAAATGTTTGACCCTTTTTCAATTTGTAGCTTCTCGTTAGTGGTTCAGACTATCACTATGCGCTTTTGAGGGCTGATTAAGACATCAAATGAGCACAAGCTTGCAAAGTTGTATCAAAATCCATCGATTCATTTCGGAGATGCAGCAGCTTATTCTAAGCCAGGTTGCGTCAGACCATTTCCGCCGGCCGCACTCAGCTCGGGCACAGCCAGCCAGAGTGGAAACACGCCGTTCCCACGTCGCAGGAGAATGCGAACCGTGCAGCGTTTGGGTTTCGATCAATGTCACGTGACTGTTCACTGACTGACAGTGCATTTCGAGCACATCATCCGAGTGTCAAATAGAGACAATTATTGACGTTATCTTGGTCGTGCACATCATGTCAATCATCCTGTATGAGGCACAATAATGAATTTGGAATAATGCGCACATACAGTTCTGGCCGCGCTCCCTTACTGCTGGTACGCTCTGAATAATCTGTATTTCAGGAACTAGCGAATTAATATCGTTATAACTTTCCATGCATGTGCTCATTTGATGTCTTAGTCAGTCCTCAAAAGCGCACAGCGATAGTCTGAACCAATTACGAATGGCTAAAAATTGAAAAAGGGTCAACATTTTTTGGAACAGAGTGTATATACTATAGGGTAAAACCACCTAAGTTCGGACACTGTGGCAAACATTGCAACAAAACAAAGCATTCGCGAGGTCGCCTTCAGAAACGGTTATTCCTAACATGAGATGAACATGTTACTGAGCGAAGGAAAAGCGGTGGCCATGACGACTTTGCACGATTCCAAGACATTGAGCTTAAGCCAATGCTATATCGCGAACAGGAGGAATTATTCAAGAAACCTTAAGGAGAGAACCTTACTTTTAAAACGTGACATTGTCGTTTTCTGTGCTCAATTCTTACTTCCCAGGAAACTAGGAGGACATGGAGGCCTGTTACGCAGAATGCATGTGCATTGATAAGATTATTGTCCTACTTTCGATGTGTCCGAACTTAGGTCAAGAAATGTTTGAGAAACTTAAGTTCGGACATCTACATCCCAGGTAGCACATAACATTGATTCAACGTTGATTTGGTGTGGATCGAATGTTTCACTGTTGAAGGTTTATACTTCTACTAGTAAATTTATGTTGAATCAAAATTGATTCAACGCGGTGACCATCACCGTTTATACACCCACATTGACTCAACATTGAATCAATGCTGCACTATTCACGGTGGAAGTGTCGACATTAAATCAGCCTCGATTCAATGGTTTCTTTTTGCAGCAAAAAATCCCTTGTTTTTTATCTTCTCTTAGGATTTTTTGTGTGTACTTCATCATGATTCGTTTAATAGTTAAGCCAATTGCCCATAATACATTACGATCACGAAAAATGCTTGATTTAGGGCAGATAAGAAGGTGGCTGAAATTACGCCTGGCCTAAAGTCTATCGCAACAAACAAAAAGAAAAAAAAAACTCTCGCGAGCATCTGACATGGTGGAATTGCCTCAATAAATGCGTAAAATTAGAAAAAAGTAGATTCAATAACATTCATATAAAGGCTTGGAAGGGGGCAATTTAAACGCATTGCCCTTCCAGTTACTTCCGCAAGTGTGCCAATTTTCCTGGCTTTGATACATCTTCTATCTATCTATCTATCTATCTATCTATATATATATATATTGATATATACATTAGCCATGTGTATATATAGTGTATATATAGTGTAGTGTATATATATATATATATATATATATATATATATATATATATATATATATATATATATATA